CCCCGCCTCTTCGACCTGTTTGTTTCTTCAGCAACTATCCTCTCCTCTATCCCTCTTCTATTCGCCTCCCACTCTCTCCCTATTTATTTCAAAACCCCCTTCCCCTCCCCCTTTTCTGATGAAGGGTCTAGGCCCGAAACGTCAGCCTCTCTGCTCCTATGATGCTGCTTGACCTGCTGTGTCCACACAAGTTGAATTGCCAGTTTCAGTGCCAGCACAATCAATTCAAAATTAATAGCCTTCTTTTTATGGGTGTGGGACACACTTTAAATCTGCTCACTTCAAAGATATGACTATACAATTAATAAAAAATACTTGATTCAAGCTGAATGCTTGTATTTAGCAGTAGATTACCCTGCAGAGATCAAATGGGATAGAATACATACCAGGTCCAAACTCTGAAGCTTGAAACCATACACAGCTCCTCTTTTGCTGCTATTCATGTAGTTACCAAGTGCCAGAATTATCTGCAGAGAGGTAGGAAAAAGACACATTGTTATATACATTCGAGAATCATCATCACAAAACAGCATTGACATTTCCTAACCAATTGTTAAGAGATGATATTACACTGGTAAGACTTGAACCCAGGTCTCCTGGCTTGGAGGTAGGGACATTACCACTGTGCCACTAGAGCTCCCCCCACTGATTTTCTTTTTAAATCAACCTGCTCATAGTGTTATCACACAGCTCTGCAGCAGGTGAGGCTTGAACCCAGACTTCTTCACTCAGAGGAAAAGCCCATAGCAGATGGAACACATCCATAGTATTTCACCAGTGTCTACCTGGATTGTAGATATTTATAACCAGCTCGTTCAGATGCGTTGTGACTTAACTCCAGAATATGTGGAACTTGAACCTGGGCCTTGTAGCACAGAGGTAGGGACATTATCACAAGAGCCCCCCACAGATTGGCACAGATACAACTTTTTATGGGACAGGCATGGCACCATCAAAGTAGCCCCACTTGACTGGCATCCTATCTGCCACCTTCAACATCCACTCCCTCCACCACTGACACACACGGTGTGCAAAGCAGCAACTCACAAAAGGCCAATTCGACAGCACTGTTCCAACCCGCAAACTCTTACCATCTAGAAGGACAAGGGCAGCAGATACATGGGAACACCACTGCCTGAAGGTTCCCCTCCAAGCCACTCACTATCCTGACTTGGAAATATATCGCCGTTCCTTCAGTGTCACTGGGTCAAAATCCCTCCGAACAGCATTGTGGGTGTCCCTACACCCCAAAGACTGCAGCTATTGAAGAAGGCAGCACGCCACCACCTTTTCCAAGGCAGTTACTGATGGGCAATAAACATTGGCCTAGCCACTGGTGTTCAAATACAAAAATAAGGCCAATAGCAATCTCAGTACAGGCATTTGTGGCCCACTTCCCTTCAGCTGTGGCCCTTCAGCAGAAGCTGTTGCTGGGACCTCTGGTTGTCAAAGCTGGGGTTCAGAGCTGTCCTTTTCCTTTATGGCTTTCCACTGCTCCTTCGTGACACGACAACTATTAGAAGGGCTTCCACTGATCAAGCAGAACTCATTTCCACAACTGGGGCTCCTAGGATGGTCTTTATTTGCATGCATAGGCTGGAATCTGTGCCCTTTTTGCTCTGGCAAGTTTGGTGGTTGGGTTGGCATTTAATCAGACAGAAGGGTGGCAAGTGAGGACTCCGCTACAATTATGTCCATGCCAGGAAGGTCCATGAACAGCCTTCCCATCCCGCGGCCAACTTAGGCCCTTAACTGGGCAATGGATGTTTAGTTGAGAGCCTTATCCTCCCCTCACTAGTAGTAATTCAGTGGTGAACAAGCTACATAGCAGACAGAAGTAAACCAGTGTGGGGTTGTTGGAGGGTTCCCAGGGAAGAGTCCCTTGCTCAAAGTCTCTCAGTGCCTAATCGGGGAACCTAGCATCAGTAAGGGGGTGGCCTGTTGACAGTCACTCCCCCTGCCAACAAACCCACACTCTGTGAATCTTTTTCCTGCCATCACTCACCTCTGGTCTGGGTCCAGCAGCTATCCTAGGCCTCGAGCGGTTATCCTGGGGACAGCAACTGCCTCCCCAGTGATACCTCTAACTGGCCAGTAGCTTTTGGGTCCTTGCTCCCAGTGGAAAGGCGCACGCAGGTTTGCCCAAGCAGAACGAGATGTGGTGGGCCTTCCCAAAAGGAGGCAATGCAATGTGAGGCTGTTCAGCCAGCAGCTCAGAGAGACCGCTCCAACTCCTCCGCAAGATTCCACTTATAATCCTGGCTGATGCTCCCAGTGCACTATTGAGGTAGTATTGTACTCCAAGGCAGTGCTTTGTCTTTCAGATGAGATGTTAAACTGAGGCCCTGTTTGTCCTCTCAGCTTGGTATAAAAGATTCCGTGGACAATAATGAGAGCCAGGGAGTGCTCCTTGGTGTCCAGGCCAATATTGATTCAATATTACCAGCATACACCTGATGCGCTACATGGCCCGTTTCTGTGATGGATTACATACTCAATAAAACAGATGACCTAGTCATCATCTCACTTTGTGGAATCATGCTGTGCACAAATTAGCCACAGTGCTTCCTACATTCTGCGTTGTATCATTTCTGTGACTGTGTGAACCTACAGCTTTTACCTCGACAGACAGCACACTCACCTCCAGCACTCTCTTCAACTTCTGTGAGGTCTTAATGGATGCAGAAGCAGCTATTATTGCATTCAGTTGCTGGAAGAAAACATTTATAATATTAAGTATCTTTAGATAATATATATTGGAATAGTCATGTTAATTTCAGGGTAATTGTATAAAATCCATTGTGTAAAGATTTTGGAGCACGATATTTCACAGACTTCACCAGTAAATTCGAAAGGTACATTTTGTGAACAATTGACCGTCAAAGATATCAATCGGTGAGCCCAAGGTTACTGAGAACAGCAATCTGCAATTGAAGAAAAGGATGGAGTAAAAGATGAAGGGAGAAAAAGGAGGCAGAGCAAGTTGGAAGAAACAAGGATCGATTCTGAGAATGAAGGGTTTCAGGAAATCTCTCACAGAAAATGATACTCCAGCCCTTTACTTTGAGCTGAAAAATAGACCAGCTGTATTCAAATGCTTAAATGCTGAGGGTAATTGCCACGGCGTAATGCCATCACAGCTGAACTCAGGTAAAGTGGATGGTGAGGGAGCTGGTGATCTTCCTGGTCCATTGGAAGTCAGGACTATAACAATATGTAGCTTCCTGGGTTTCTTCTGAAACATTCAGATTTTTGTCTGTGGGGGAGATGGTGATGCAATGGTCATGTCAGTGGACTAGAGATCCAGGCAAATGCTCTGGCTTAAATCCCAGCGTGGCAGCTTGTTGAAGTTTAAGCTTAATAAATGAGGAATATAAAGCTAGTCACAGTGACAGTGACCATGACAACTATCATCGATTGTCTTACAAACCCATCCGGTTCACTAATGTTCTTTAGGGAAGGGAAATCTGCCACCCTTACCCAGTCTGGCCTACACATCATTCCAGACCCACGGTGATGTAGTTGACTCTTAACCACCCTCTGAAAGGGTCAAACAAGCCACTCAGCCCGAGGACAATTAGGGATGGGCAACAAATACCGGCCTTGCCAGCTACGTCCATATCCCATGAGAGGAGGAAATATTGTTGCCCTCATGCTTGGGATTTTTTTTTTGGACAGTATCCTAAACACTGGAAACATGGCTGTCCCTTCCACCCACCTCCATCGCTGCTGGTTTACAGATGGCAGGAGACCTACCGGATTCAACATCTGAATATTCTCGGAGAAGTTCCCGACAAACGTCATGATGGTCATGCGCTGAGGCAGGCGCTCAATTTTGCTGAACTGCAGCATGAAGCGGTCCTCGTTGGACAGTTCATCGAGTGGTTTCCGTTCTCTCTCGTACTGCCTCAAAAGCTTCACCTCGTTCTCTAAAGGCAGGAAGCGATTCAGACACTCCACAAAGTCTAGGGGCAGAGTCTTCAAATCGTACCTACAAGAGGGCAAAGGCAATGCTTTAGTCCGCTAAACCAAACGCAAATCACAAGACAGTCATCAGAGAGTTCACAACTGAAAATTACTCAGAGGGAGAGGGTGGAGGGGCAGAGGGGCTTTTATTTTCCAAGAATATTTCAAGCAAGTCATTTTACCTGAATGCCCCAGAGCACGCATTTGTTGCCTGGCTTTGTCGCGCATGCAAAACATTTCCCGCCACCAAATGGCTGCTTGCTGATATTGCGCAGAATTCATGCCTTGGCATTTGTTGAGCTTGCGAATGTGGGCAGAATTGGCATTTAAAGTCCCACTCATACAATTATTTCGTTTCTTTTATTTTGCAGCATTTTCGCAATATTTCTTTGCCAGCTTCCTTCGAGCGTGGGAAATTACCAACTGTACCCGGGCAGCAGTTTCAGCTCTCTGATGTGTGGCAGCACCCTGGGCAAATTGTGAAGGCTTGAACCAGTTCAGCTGGTCTGTACCCATTTGGTCAGAATCATGCAAATAAATGCCTGCTTCCTGTGGGCACACCAAATACCTTAATTTTAAAAGTGAACCCACAGTGTCACCACAGTTTGAAGGGAACAGAAGATTGACTACTCAAAGGCTTAGGGTATCCATTATTGCCCAGTATGTCTCTCTTGCCAAACTGCAGCTGAAAGCTGGTAGAACAAAGCTCACCAACACAGAAAGGATGACCCTATGTCCAGTTATTAATGAACAGATGTCCATCCATCAAGCATACTGTCAGACGCTGCAATCAATACATTTGGGAAGTGCTAAACAAAGATCCAAAAAGGCCTGGTTCAAAATGGCACACTTGCATCACCTTGTAAAGTTTTTTTTTCTGGGTGGGGGGGGGGGGGGGGGCAGGAGTTGTTTGCTGGCTGCTTGTCTCTCTTCCAAGGCCTTGTGCTTGCCAGGGTGACCCTGGATCAAGATCAATGGGTGCCAACCAGCCCATTACAAGACTATTGTAATACACAACACTATCAGTCAAAGCACTCGCCATTTTATGATACTGTGGGTAATCCAATAGCACCCTCCAAGTTCAATGCAAGAAGACAATCAGCCAACATACACTTGGGATCAAAGGTTTGGATCGAGTGAAGGGGTCAACTGCACATTCTAACTGCAAAAATATCTTGAAAATAATTGCTTGAAGCTTGCTATAAAATGTTGTAATTCAAAGGGGATGCTTGGTGGATGGAACAGCAGAATCCGCAAGTCACGCCCAAAGGTCCAGAGCGAGGAAAAGGAAAAAACTGTGCCAATGAAAGGAAGAAACCAGCTGCAGCAGGCATCAACATGTGCCACTTTGTAATGAGGGCACCGAGCT